AATTACTGATTGATCATAACTTCACACCCCATTCCAGAATATAATTTCGTACAGGGTAACAGAACAGTGAGACTTTGCAGCGCTGAATAAAATGAGTAATTGTTGCCTCTTTTTTATCTTTCTTTAGGCTTTTGCAAAACAATAGGATAACTTCTATAGCAAATGAGACTTTAGCCAGCCTCTTTATTCAATACGTGTGCGTACTACTTTTACTCAGGCATCACTACTGTATTAGGAGAACTACTATACATAGTGTTTCAATTTTGTCCACGTATCTTGATTAAAATTTCTCTTTCACGGTTGAAATAGCTAGAGCTATTACTTTTCCGCGCGATTTAATTGATAATAATTTTTATCTTCAAAAAACTGTATGGCTGAGTTACTAACGTAACTGCCTCTTCGTTAGTTTTTGATGTTTCGCGCCAAGAACTGATTAGTAGATAACATTTCATAGAATAGATGATGTAATCTTAAGTTTCGCTCTAAATTGGACACTTTTTGGCCACATACTTCAACGATTCAATTATCAAAGTTTGCGTAAAGACGTTCTTTTGCCCATGCAGATTTTAATGGGAACTCGTGCAAGTCGTCGGGTCAAAACTTGCCTTTATTTGCCATTACACTATGTTACTTAATTTTCTACAACTCCGTTGCTAACTAATCGTATTTATAAAATTCTCGATCGTGATTGGATCTCCGCGTGCCTGTTTCTCATGTAATCGGTGCACGATCACGTGGATGTCCAATTACAGATATCCAATTACAACTTTTGTTATCGTTGGATACCTGTACTTGGATACCTATACCATTCGCACCTAACCGCGTCTTAATGGCTTCCTTCTTAGTGTTTCCTGCACTTTTAAAACTTATGGAAAGAGCTACTGACTTTTTCTCTCAGAAGAAGGTCACAAAATACTTTTTAACATCGAAAGTTGTTGCAGATACGATTACTTATTAATGGGATCTCGTGTCCTACAATTCAGAGAGCAACTGTGCTTGCAAATTTTAAATCTTATGAAATTACTCACGTGATTACTCCTTAAACTGTGCGTCAAGATGTCCAATTAATATTACTAACTAGGACTGTTTTCCGAAATGTTTATTCTGCAGAGACCTTTCTTATAATAGAATTCACTACTTACCAGAGGCATTTTTCTGCTGTTTGAGATCATTGCAATTTCTGCAAGTATCGATAAAGAACTGTTTTCTGTAGTTATGTGTAGTTATGTAGAGTTGCTTATAGAAAGTAAATGCTATAACTGAAATACGATTGTTAAAAAGAGTACTCTACAATTTTGTCCTACAAAGAACTTTCTTGATAGGCAGTGTCAATTGGATTTCTCTGTCTTTCATGGGCAGCTTATATTGAGCTGTAGGTAGTACTGATAATTTGACTTGCATTTTCAACGGAGCTAAATTCCCGCGTGCATCCATAATGAAATTCGATATGAGCAAACTAAGCATGAACCAATTCTTTAGTTAAAGGTAGTCAAGTATACCTTACTGTCCTTGCATTATTATGACAACCTGTAATAACCACCTTTTTAACAAACTGATAGATTTTTGCAGAATAACATGATTACCTCCGTATCCAAGGAGACCTTTGCTGGCGCAACCAGTCTTCGCTATATGTAAGCAGTATAATAATTACTTTTACTGGTGAAAGGATTGGCTTTTTAGTTGTGCGCATGGAAGAGTGGAATAGTGGTACATGCACGTGATTGTTTATTCACCGAATTACTGCCTATTTGATTGCATGTTTGTCTGACTAACTGAATGACTGACTGACTGACTGACTTACTGACTGACTGACCGATTGACAGACTGACACATTACCTGACTCGTCAATCAGTCAGTCAGGTGTTTTTTCGGTGCAGCAGTGCAAAGTTACAGCATAGCTCAGTGCAGTGTAGTGTGAGGCGACGAAGCGTGGGTAATGTGTTGAGATCTCACATCATAATGTCATCTTATATTTTTTAGAGTTCTGAGCGCTAACCGATTAGAGGATATTCCGCAAAGAGCTTTCATTAATATGTTACAAGAGCCAAAGGATGAGTATTCATCAAGTGATAAAATAATGTCAGTATTGATTATTACGCGAAAGAGAATAAATTATAAATAGGAATGGTAAATTTCTTGAAAGATAATTATATTGCCAGCCAATCTTGCAAGGCAAAAAAGAAAAATATATATACTGGGCCTGCTTTCTGTTATCTTAATTTCTTCCAGTGGGGCGCTACGTTGTGCATCCTCAATGAAAACTACTGGTTCTTGGCTTCAGACCCTTTTCAATTATGGACAAGAAATGACTGGAGATTTGCTATCCGCTCTTACCTGCTCTCACCCTCCTCACTCTTGTACGACCAGAGCAAATCATTGCTTTTGCCGTTTAATATTGGTGTTATCGTTTTACTCTTATCTTTTAAGAATGCTTACGGACAACCCTATAAAGACAGTCAATTCAGAGGCATTTAATCTTGTCAATGGTACCTTAACAGTGTAAGTTGCAATGGATATTGCTATCAATAATTAAATCATATTAACTACTTGTTAAGTGAGAGTAAGATCTTTTGGCTGTGCGATAGCGAGATCAATACGGCAAGGCCCAAGTTCGAGATTTTCCCGTAGAGACCGAACGTTCGAGGTTAAAAAGTTATTTACTATATGGCTCTTTGCTTTGGCCGTTTTGCAGACGCGTAACGGTCCGTGGGCATTACAGGACAATACTACCCTAGAATTACCAATTAGAGCGCACGTTCTATCGGCTACAAACACAAACCGTATAGTAAAAACTCATAATGTCTGAGATCTTGCCCTATTATAGAGACAACAGCCCAAACAAATAGAACACCAATATTTTGCAAGAGAACAGTGTTGGTAATTCATAAGGAAGTTAAACTAAGGTTTATCTTAATGTTCTCTGACGAAACTGTACTAGAAAACAAAGGGGGTGCTTACATAACAGAAGCACTTATTATATTAGAGCGCTTTGAAAAAAGATACTAGAGAGGGTTATAAGAAAAGGGGTTTCTCACTGAACCATTACGGTATATATAAATACTTTTCTTTTAATCTGACGGTGTTTCGATGTAAGAGACGAATAAAGATGATGTTAGGTGAAGTTCCTTGAACATGTAACCGAATCTCTCTTCTGATAGATATCTGAAAGGGATAAGTTTTGCTGGGCAGGTTACATCATTTTTGTTTTTCTTTTGGCTTTCATAGTTATTGGTGTTAACTGTGTCACGCAACTGATTCTTACTTTTAGTGAAGTGAGTTAACGAGTCGATCCAATAAACTTATGCGTTTAACGCATTATGCCGTCAAGTTCCAAGATAATAAGACAAACCTGGCGAAGTTTTGTTGTTGCTGTTGTTGGTTGTGTTGTTTTGTTTTGTTACTTGACTCGTATTTACTAACGGTTACCGTTGAATGTTGATGGTCTAATCTTTCCAGCTTATTTGAGCAATGTCAAGCGTTTCACGTATACCTTTAGTGTCAAGAAATGAATCAAAATTTATTTAGCCATAATTCATTAAGTCCACTGATTACTGATTTAAAGAAAGACGAAGAAAGATCGTTATTAGGTATTTAATTTATTCTTTTCGATTTTTATTTCGTTTATAACAGATATTTGATACGGACGAAGCTTAAAACAGTGAGCCTGGAGTCCTTCATGGGATTCCGTGGTTTAGATTTACGAATGTAATGTATCCTATAATGAGCCATATATTAATGTATATAGATAGTAAATTTAGGCCGAATACTAAGAAATACCCCCACAAACCCCTCCCCACCCTTTCTTAATGGGGCCTCAGTCTTATTCAGACCACTATAATAGGTGATTAAGACAGATGACCTTACTTGGAGTCTTCCCGAAACGCTAGAGAGTAGGCTTCGCTGTCCCTTTTAGAGCATCAAAGCTATCACAAGGAACCTTGGAGGATTTACAGCACGTCCAAAGATATTTCTGTTGAGTCTAACATTAGGAGATGACATTGTATCACGAACGAATAAAGTCATTATTTATTTTTATTTTATTTTTTTATTTATTTATTCCTCCAATTCCTTATTCCTCCAATTCCTTATTTATTTATTATTTACAGTCAAAATATCATATCCTCTATCTTGGATTTCAACGATATTTATTACACGTAACAAAATGACAAAAAGTGGTTACAAGCTGGTGAAAACTAATGAAGGACACGAAAACTATCATTACAAGAGTTTAAAGTTAATGCGGGAATCACTCTCCTCCCCTCTTCACCCTATGGATCTGAGTAGGATAAAGCATACTTCTAAAAACTGAATCAAGAGTTGAAGTTAGTTATCCACGAAGCATCTTTTCACAGGACATTATGTTTCCTAGCTATATATATAAGGTATGAAGTGTATTTATAGTCAAGCTTTGAATTTACAAATCATCTTTAGGCTTCTCTTAAAATCTACGTTTTGCTTTAGGGCGATAACGAACAGATCCATTGGGAAGCTTGAGTATCACACAAACGGCACAGCTCGCGGTACAATATATCTGTAAGTATTTAAGAGATCGTATCGATGAGAACTTTGTACTTTACCGTTTGTTTAAATCTGATATAGTATTTGTACGTGCGCTGTACAAGTGGTCGATGTACAACTCCTCTGTGGCCGCTGTTTCATTAGACTCAGTTCTGAACCGATGTTATTCATTCTCTGTTACGCTAAGTTTTATTGACATTCCTTCAAGTTGTAACTGTTCAGTTCTGTTAAGATATTTCCAAACCGAGCAGTTAAAATCAAAACAATTTCAAGTGAAAATGGTGAAATAATTGAAATAATCTCACGGGTTTCACGGTGAGATTCTCAACACACCTTCGGAAACTGTTCATTTATTATAAATGGGCTTAGACAAACCCAGTATAACTGATCAAACCTGAATCAGCTGATTGTGTACCATTCCAGGTTTTAGCGAACGACATTCGTATCCCTCATGATTATAATAATTATGATGAAGACTTACAATTAAAGTGTTAATTTCATCTTATCTTTGACTTTAGGAATTATGCAAGTTCGAGTACCGAAGCTGTGAAGGTGTACAATCCATACAGTCAAGAAAATATAGCCATCATTTCCGCTCTCTTGGCATCGGGATTCAGACGAATACCTGACGATCGCCCCGATGCTAATTATCACACATTCCTACCATGTCCGCTGGGGACCTTTTCCAACTCTTCTTCTAAGGGAGCTGAGGGATGCATAGAATGTCCTCCAGGTATGTAATCAGGATCCTTTTTGGTGGCTTTTAGATTTTTCTTCAATGAGGCTGCAAATCAGACATGCGTGCTGGCGTCATGGAATCTGGAGATCATGTCAAAATGCTTTAGCAGACCAGTTCTTCATTTTCCCATGAAGCCATAACACCCATTAAAAGAGGCTAAAACGCGCCTGTAAATATTTATTTCCGTGGCAAAAAGTTCCGTAATGAGTAAAATTTCATACAGTCTCTGCATCGGCTTGAACGCAGGAAGGAATATGTCCGTTGCAAGATCAGTCAACTAAGTCTTAATTGCAATAGTGCAAAAATAATTATGTGCTGGAAAATTGTAATTTTCACTGCAAGGATTTTCGTAGAGTCTTGATTGTATTCATTTATTTATAAAGGTGGATTTTACTCTGATGATGAAGGCCACGTAGCAGAAAGCTGCAAGAAATGTCCAACTGGTTCTTTTGTTCCATTTGATAAGACACCAGGGAAACGACCCCAAGATTGCAAGACATGTCCGGAAGGTAATAGTAAATGACTATGTCCTCCCAAGTGAGATCATCGACCCTAGTGAACTGAACACTTACTGACTTAAGGATATTCATTCCGTGTCTATCTTTCGCGCCAAAATTCATGCAAAAGTTTTCTCTCAAAATATTCCAACTTAGGCAACATTACGTGTTGTAATATAATGCACTTCCTTGTCACCCCTCGGATATTACCAAAATTCGTCCAAAGAGTAACAATAATACTGGTTTTCAATAAGTCCACTAATTTAAAAAATGCACGCGAAGGATTAACGTGAGTTCTTTTTCGAGAGAAGTACTTCCTGCGCATGATTGTGAAAAACGAATATTCAATATACAATAGACATCAAATCAAATTGCGCAATGAGTGAAATGAGACCTTAAGCGAGGGTATCTTCTTGGTTAACCTAAGGGTCACAATAGGAACAGGCGTTACGTTTTACAAAATTTATTCAGAAAATCTCATTTCTGGTTCCAATCTTTAATAGGGACGGATACTGATTTCTATGCTGGATACCGTGCATGTACATGTTTGGACGGATTTTATCGCACCCACATGTTTGAGCAATGTCACAAATGTGGACAAGGTGGGCTGAAATGCCAGGATGAATATGCTTCATTAAAACCTGGTTATTGGTGGGAATGGCGGAACGAGACGCACAAAGATCGCTACAGAGACTATATAGCAAACCTCTTGACATCTTCCCCGGCGTTAGATGCTTCCAGCGTTCAATTCCCATATCAGATACCATTACCTTACATGTGCCAGGTGGAGGAGTCTTGCCTTGGAGGTCTAGATTCCCCTTGCAAAGAAGGCTATGAAGGTCCGCTCTGTGCTGTTTGCAGTACAGGATATTACAAACACCTACAAGCATGCACACAGTGTCCATCAAGGCATTGGGTGGTTGGACAGCTGTCGATAATTGCAGCCATAGTGTTTATAGTTGTTGTTCTCACAGTGTGGACAAGCAACAGAAAGAGAAAGAGGGGAGGAGGAAGCTCTTTTTTGGATATGTTATTTTCCAAACTTAAGATCGTCATTGGATTTTACCAAGTCACCCACGGTTTGCTCGAAGCGTTCTCGTTCATAAAGTGGCCGGGTGCCCTGGAACTAATCACGAAGTATTCAGAAATATTACAAATGAATATATTTCAGATAGCACCCATTCACTGCTTATATCGGGGATTAAGAGTGGATGCCTTTGCAAGCTTGCTGGCGGTAATGGGGTTTAATGTGGCTGTCATTAGCATTTCGGGTTTCAGTTATGGTTTGCGTAAGGTTTTTGTATTAAGAAGTCGATTGCTTGACGACAAGGCCAAGTCAGACAAAATCTCAAAGGCGAAGGAAAGCATATACAGGAATTTACTTTTTTTCCTCTATGTGACGTACCTGAGCACGTGTTCTAAGACCGCCGCCGTTCTACCGCTCGCTTGTCGTAAACTCTGCCGAGACAAAAAAGAAGAGTCTTGTCACAAGTATCTAAAAGCAGATTACAGCGTACTATGCGAAGGTCCAGAGTACAACCATTTGCTTGTCGCAGCGTACATTGCTACTGCCTATATCATTGCCCTTCCTGTGGCGACATTCGTCGCGCTTTGGAGACAAAGACGAGTAATATCAGCGAAGAACGAGGCACAAGAATATACTGATTCTAGCAAGGAGGTGATTACTGGATTGCGGTTTCTTTTTGAAAACTACAAAACTCGCACATGGTATTGGGAAGTGGTTGAAACGTCTCGCAAAGTAATTCTGACTTCTGGTCTGATTCTTGTGGGACAAGAGAGCAGGTCCTACATTGGCTTGGCATGGGTCATCGCCGGGATGTACGGAATGCTTTTCTCGTGGAACGCACCCATACAAGACGTGGTCGAAAACAGACTAATGGCTACGTCCCTTGCCGTAACTGTTGTCAACCTGGGTATTGGAGCTGTCAGCAGAATACCTGCAGAGAATATACCAACCTCTGTCAATCCCTATAGAGACGCAGTATTGTTCAAGTTATTAGTGTTTGGAGCAAACGCTTTGGTGATTGGTCAACTGGTTGGTAAGATGACACTCTTAACTCAAGTTTTAATCACTTTTGCTGGTAAAAATGAGTTGATTGGAGTGGGTGGGAAGAAGCGAAGTGTAGTGTAATGGACGAAGTGGAGTGGGTTGAGAAAGATTGGGTGTGGTGAAAAAAGCGAAGTGAAGTGAAGTGGGGGAGATGGGGTTGTGCAAAGAGTAGTTGGATATTTAGGGGGATGGGTGCAGAGAGTGAAATACAGTGAGGTGGGGTGGACTGGACTGGAGTTGCATGCTGTGGCTTGTCGTTGAGAAGAGCACAGATAGCAGTTTGTGGCTCCTGCTTTATTTCATTTCACCTTTTTTGGAACTATTTGTGGAGACCTATTTACAGTAGGTGTAGCACGCCTGGTAGCCCACTCAATAAAACACATTATTTTAGCGTCTCAAACCTACCTTTATTTCATTTACTTTTCAGTTCAGTATGCAGTGTTTCTTTACCGCTACCTCAAGGAATGGCTTAAAAATCCACATTGGNAGTAAAAACTCATAATGTCTGAGATCTTGCCCTATTATAGAGACAACAGCCCAAACAAATAGAACACCAATATTTTGCAAGAGAACAGTGTTGGTAATTCATAAGGAAGTTAAACTAAGGTTTATCTTAATGTTCTCTGACGAAACTGTACTAGAAAACAAAGGGGGTGCTTACATAACAGAAGCACTTATTATATTAGAGCGCTTTGAAAAAAGATACTAGAGAGGGTTATAAGAAAAGGGGTTTCTCACTGAACCATTACGGTATATATAAATACTTTTCTTTTAATCTGACGGTGTTTCGATGTAAGAGACGAATAAAGATGATGTTAGGTGAAGTTCCTTGAACATGTAACCGAATCTCTCTTCTGATAGATATCTGAAAGGGATAAGTTTTGCTGGGCAGGTTACATCATTTTTGTTTTTCTTTTGGCTTTCATAGTTATTGGTGTTAACTGTGTCACGCAACTGATTCTTACTTTTAGTGAAGTGAGTTAACGAGTCGATCCAATAAACTTATGCGTTTAACGCATTATGCCGTCAAGTTCCAAGATAATAAGACAAACCTGGCGAAGTTTTGTTGTTGCTGTTGTTGGTTGTGTTGTTTTGTTTTGTTACTTGACTCGTATTTACTAACGGTTACCGTTGAATGTTGATGGTCTAATCTTTCCAGCTTATTTGAGCAATGTCAAGCGTTTCACGTATACCTTTAGTGTCAAGAAATGAATCAAAATTTATTTAGCCATAATTCATTAAGTCCACTGATTACTGATTTAAAGAAAGACGAAGAAAGATCGTTATTAGGTATTTAATATATTCTTTTCGATTTTTATCTCGTTTATAACAGATATTTGATACGGACGAAGCTTAAAACAGTGAGCCTGGAGTCCTTCATGGGATTCCGTGGTTTAGATTTACGAATGTAATGTATCCTATAATGAGCCATATATTAATGTATATAGATAGTAAATTTAGGCCGAATACTAAGAAATACCCCCACAAACCCCTCCCCACCCTTTCTTAATGGGGCCTCAGTCTTATTCAGACCACTATAATAGGTGATTAAGACAGATGACCTTACTTGGAGTCTTCCCGAAACGCTAGAGAGTAGGCTTCGCTGTCCCTTTTAGAGCATCAAAGCTATCACAAGGAACCTTGGAGGATTTACAGCACGTCCAAAGATATTTCTGTTGAGTCTAACATTAGGAGATGACATTGTATCACGAACGAATAAAGTCATTATTTATTTTTATTTTATTTTTTTATTTATTTATTCCTCCAATTCCTTATTCCTCCAATTCCTTATTTATTTATTATTTACAGTCAAAATATCATATCCTCTATCTTGGATTTCAACGATATTTATTACACGTAACAAAATGACAAAAAGTGGTTACAAGCTGGTGAAAACTAATGAAGGACACGAAAACTATCATTACAAGAGTTTAAAGTTAATGCGGGAATCACTCTCCTCCCCTCTTCACCCTATGGATCTGAGTAGGATAAAGCATACTTCTAAAAACTGAATCAAGAGTTGAAGTTAGTTATCCACGAAGCATCTTTTCACAGGACATTATGTTTCCTAGCTATATATATAAGGTATGAAGTGTATTTATAGTCAAGCTTTGAATTTACAAATCATCTTTAGGCTTCTCTTAAAATCTACGTTTTGCTTTAGGGCGATAACGAACAGATCCATTGGGAAGCTTGAGTATCACACAAACGGCACAGCTCGCGGTACAATATATCTGTAAGTATTTAAGAGATCGTATCGATGAGAACTTTGTACTTTACCGTTTGTTTAAATCTGATATAGTATTTGTACGTGCGCTGTACAAGTGGTCGATGTACAACTCCTCTGTGGCCGCTGTTTCATTAGACTCAGTTCTGAACCGATGTTATTCATTCTCTGTTACGCTAAGTTTTATTGACATTCCTTCAAGTTGTAACTGTTCAGTTCTGTTAAGATATTTCCAAACCGAGCAGTTAAAATCAAAACAATTTCAAGTGAAAATGGTGAAATAATTGAAATAATCTCACGGGTTTCACGGTGAGATTCTCAACACACCTTCGGAAACTGTTCATTTATTATAAATGGGCTTAGACAAACCCAGTATAACTGATCAAACCTGAATCAGCTGATTGTGTACCATTCCAGGTTTTAGCGAACGACATTCGTATCCCTCATGATTATAATAATTATGATGAAGACTTACAATTAAAGTGTTAATTTCATCTTATCTTTGACTTTAGGAATTATGCAAGTTCGAGTACCGAAGCTGTGAAGGTGTACAATCCATACAGTCAAGAAAATATAGCCATCATTTCCGCTCTCTTGGCATCGGGATTCAGACGAATACCTGACGATCGCCCCGATGCTAATTATCACACATTCCTACCATGTCCGCTGGGGACCTTTTCCAACTCTTCTTCTAAGGGAGCTGAGGGATGCATAGAATGTCCTCCAGGTATGTAATCAGGATCCTTTTTGGTGGCTTTTAGATTTTTCTTCAATGAGGCTGCAAATCAGACATGCGTGCTGGCGTCATGGAATCTGGAGATCATGTCAAAATGCTTTAGCAGACCAGTTCTTCATTTTCCCATGAAGCCATAACACCCATTAAAAGAGGCTAAAACGCGCCTGTAAATATTTATTTCCGTGGCAAAAAGTTCCGTAATGAGTAAAATTTCATACAGTCTCTGCATCGGCTTGAACGCAGGAAGGAATATGTCCGTTGCAAGATCAGTCAACTAAGTCTTAATTGCAATAGTGCAAAAATAATTATGTGCTGGAAAATTGTAATTTTCACTGCAAGGATTTTCGTAGAGTCTTGATTGTATTCATTTATTTATAAAGGTGGATTTTACTCTGATGATGAAGGCCACGTAGCAGAAAGCTGCAAGAAATGTCCAACTGGTTCTTTTGTTCCATTTGATAAGACACCAGGGAAACGACCCCAAGATTGCAAGACATGTCCGGAAGGTAATAGTAAATGACTATGTCCTCCCAAGTGAGATCATCGACCCTAGTGAACTGAACACTTACTGACTTAAGGATATTCATTCCGTGTCTATCTTTCGCGCCAAAATTCATGCAAAAGTTTTCTCTCAAAATATTCCAACTTAGGCAACATTACGTGTTGTAATATAATGCACTTCCTTGTCACCCCTCGGATATTACCAAAATTCGTCCAAAGAGTAACAATAATACTGGTTTTCAATAAGTCCACTAATTTAAAAAATGCACGCGAAGGATTAACGTGAGTTCTTTTTCGAGAGAAGTACTTCCTGCGCATGATTGTGAAAAACGAATATTCAATATACAATAGACATCAAATCAAATTGCGCAATGAGTGAAATGAGACCTTAAGCGAGGGTATCTTCTTGGTTAACCTAAGGGTCACAATAGGAACAGGCGTTACGTTTTACAAAATTTATTCAGAAAATCTCATTTCTGGTTCCAATCTTTAATAGGGACGGATACTGATTTCTATGCTGGATACCGTGCATGTACATGTTTGGACGGATTTTATCGCACCCACATGTTTGAGCAATGTCACAAATGTGGACAAGGTGGGCTGAAATGCCAGGATGAATATGCTTCATTAAAACCTGGTTATTGGTGGGAATGGCGGAACGAGACGCACAAAGATCGCTACAGAGACTATATAGCAAACCTCTTGACATCTTCCCCGGCGTTAGATGCTTCCAGCGTTCAATTCCCATATCAGATACCATTACCTTACATGTGCCAGGTGGAGGAGTCTTGCCTTGGAGGTCTAGATTCCCCTTGCAAAGAAGGCTATGAAGGTCCGCTCTGTGCTGTTTGCAGTACAGGATATTACAAACACCTACAAGCATGCACACAGTGTCCATCAAGGCATTGGGTGGTTGGACAGCTGTCGATAATTGCAGCCATAGTGTTTATAGTTGTTGTTCTCACAGTGTGGACAAGCAACAGAAAGAGAAAGAGGGGAGGAGGAAGCTCTTTTTTGGATATGTTATTTTCCAAACTTAAGATCGTCATTGGATTTTACCAAGTCACCCACGGTTTGCTCGAAGCGTTCTCGTTCATAAAGTGGCCGGGTGCCCTGGAACTAATCACGAAGTATTCAGAAATATTACAAATGAATATATTTCAGATAGCACCCATTCACTGCTTATATCGGGGATTAAGAGTGGATGCCTTTGCAAGCTTGCTGGCGGTAATGGGGTTTAATGTGGCTGTCATTAGCATTTCGGGTTTCAGTTATGGTTTGCGTAAGGTTTTTGTATTAAGAAGTCGATTGCTTGACGACAAGGCCAAGTCAGACAAAATCTCAAAGGCGAAGGAAAGCATATACAGGAATTTACTTTTTTTTCCTCTATGTGACGTACCTGAGCACGTGTTCTAAGACCGCCGCCGTTCTACCGCTCGCTTGTCGTAAACTCTGCCGAGACAAAAAAGAAGAGTCTTGTCACAAGTATCTAAAAGCAGATTACAGCGTACTATGCGAAGGTCCAGAGTACAACCATTTGCTTGTCGCAGCGTACATTGCTACTGCCTATATCATTGCCCTTCCTGTGGCGACATTCGTCGCGCTTTGGAGACAAAGACGAGTAATATCAGCGAAGAACGAGGCACAAGAATATACTGATTCTAGCAAGGAGGTGATTACTGGATTGCGGTTTCTTTTTGAAAACTACAAAACTCGCACATGGTATTGGGAAGTGGTTGAAACGTCTCGCAAAGTAATTCTGACTTCTGGTCTGATTCTTGTGGGACAAGAGAGCAGGTCCTACATTGGCTTGGCATGGGTCATCGCCGGGATGTACGGAATGCTTTTCTCGTGGAACGCACCCATACAAGACGTGGTCGAAAACAGACTAATGGCTACGTCCCTTGCCGTAACTGTTGTCAACCTGGGTATTGGAGCTGTCAGCAGAATACCTGCAGAGAATATACCAACCTCTGTCAATCC